GAAATTCTATGAAAGTCTTTCCATTTCTTACCCTTGATACTACAGATGCAGTATATCAGTGTAAGAAGAAGTCAGCTCAGCAGGTCTGCAGCACTTGAATTATCTTTATGGTTTGACAAGGGGTGAAGCACATAAAATCGAATTCTCCTGCATAGAAAAAACGAACACCTGTCGAGGTGATGCACGAATGGTACATGTTCCAGAGAAAGCACAGACCTGTTCTGCAGCAGAAGCCGTTTATAGATGTCTATAGCCTCCTGGTAGTGGGAACGCATGTAGTGAATGGATGCAAGGCTCAGCTGATCCTCTGTCACATCCTCCAGGTTCTGGTGGAAACCCATCAGCCTCGTCTCATCATTGAACTGAGACACGAGATGAGGACAACAGGAACATTTCAAACAGGGATCTGATCAGGTGGGCAAAATGGTAAAATACTGGAGGGAAAGCAATGAATTACAATTTGGAAGAGACGGATCATAAGCAGTGGAAATACACGTGTCTCTGAAGAAGAAAAGATAGCAGATGCATCACAGTGTAAAGAACTCGAAGTTTAGCTCACCCACACTATTGTTCAGTGAATTGTTTGTGAGTGAGTGACGGCAGAGAGAACAAATAAATGCATCACAGTAAAATTTTGTTTATTTTCCTACCTTGTGAGCCAAGTGGAAGAGGAGCCGGTTTTGGAGCGGGGACGTCGGCGCTAAAAAGTTAGAGAGAAAACCACATCAGAAATAATGACGTAACAGTGTAATAAGAGATTGTTAGACTATTGAACCTATTCTGGATGAGACATAATTTCAATTAAAGCTGCCCATAGAATATTCCATTCTATTGCACTACACATGATTACAGGGAATAGTCTTATTATGCAACTGCAACTAAGATGAGAATACTCTGCATATCTTCATTTTTTATTGCTTATTCCCGGTATGACCTTACTGGTCATACTTTGGTTTAAGAGGCACATTTTTTTTAAGGTAATCAAAAAATGTTGTTTATGCCTACCCTTTGATGCAGCCTCCTCAGCCTCTTTATAGAGCCCCAAGAAAAACAGGGCACAGGCGAGAAAGACCCACACATCAACAGGACACTCAGGCTTCATGGTCAGAGACTTGTACTCCTGTCAAAACACGATGAGGAAATTATTACAAATGTGAGAGCAGAGACTATCCATTTATCAGACCAGCATTCAGAATTTAAATACTTCCATCATGGGCCTTGACGTACAGTAAGTGTGCATCTCTACACAAACTCATTCAAACACAGAAACCTACCTCCATAGCTCTCTTGTAATCACCCAAGTGAAAGGAGCAGTAGCCAATCCAGAGGTCTGCATGCTCCTCTTTCTCTCCGACATTTCTCTGAAACTGGAGATGACACAGCAACACATCAGCAGCAGCACTTCAGTGATAGTGTGTGATAATGTGTGAAAGAGGATTCTTATTACTTATCTGGTCCCACCCTTTTTATGTAAAAATACTTATTAACTATTGTGAATATTTCATCTTGTCCATACCTCTGATATTTACCCTCGCCACAGACTCATACAGAAAGTCAAAGATAATATGTGGGTAATACTCTTAAGCTGTTTTCAGACAATCAGTAAACTTCACTAAGAAGCCGGTCATCTATAGCACAGAGCTGGTAAGAATTCACTTGTACTTTCTAGCGAGGGGGGGGCATTTGAACCACATTAACAGTGGAACAGAAACTTTTGATTTGGTTGGAGCTGGGGTCGTGTGTGTACCTCCAACAGTGTCAGGGCCCCGAGGTAGTCTCTCTGTTGCAGGTACTCCTCCAGCCGGGGAACCTTGGTCTGGTTTTTCTTCTTCTCACTGATGCTCACCTGTGTCTCTGCTCCCACCGCTGGTTTCACACGTGAGAGGATCTGTCAGGGTCCACAGAGAAAGTGTGGTTTCACATTAAAATTAGTCTAGTGCATTAAAGTGAATCTACACTATTACATGAGTCTATAACATTAGAATGGTCATGTGTGCTGACAGGTAAACTCACCATGTTGACTGTGACCGAGTTGAGACTTGTTTATCGCTAACCAAGGTAACGTGGGGTTTTCCCTGCTAACGCTAGCTTTAGCCTCTTAGTTCCATGTTACTGTGAGACCAGCTGATTAATGCTGCCATTGGTGATTGAATTATTTTACGACAAACATGCGAGTTATTAGTAAAATGATCAAGTTTCCCAGGATTCTTTGAGGAGCGTTGCTCAGTAGGATCTCAGTTTGTGTTAGCTAGCTCTGGCTCACAGCGTTCATTAAGTTAGCGTGCGGCAAATGTTTTCCGCTCTAATATCTTCGAAATAAAGGCGCAAGCGAAGGATCAGCTAATATAGTGACGCATGTATCGCAGTGTTTTGCTGATATGAGCCATAACCTGTTTCTTCTAACAAAAGCTCTGTACCACGACCGAGACGGCGGCGGATAATGAGCAACTGCATGACAATAGTTTTCTTATTGGACATTTATTTTTTAGTAAAATATATAAACAGGAAGTAGCTTGATTCTTCTGTGACGTTCTTGACACAGTGGTGTGTTCTTTGTTGCCTAGCAACAACAAAAGAAATGGCCGCATAAAAGTGTTTTCACTGTTGACTGACTGCGAGACAAGAGACAAACTGAGACAAGCTCCACATCGAGGACACGCTGTCTTCAGCCGATCATAACCATGCCAGGATATGTCAGAAATGGGTCTGAACAAATTATAGAGAGCCACTATGATTACGTTATGCGCCCCAGTGGCCTAATGGATAAGGCATCGGCCTCCTAAGCCGGGGATTGTGGGTTCGAGTCCCATCTGGGGTGAAACTCTTTTGATCTTTGAATGATAACAACATACATTTACTTTGATCCTTTTAAGAGGCCTGAATTCTCTCACGGCAGATCAGGTTCCCATTGAAATGTAACTTTGTATAAGAGCTCATCTTGGGACAAACATTGCAAACTACGTGGTAAATGATTTGTAAACAAACTACTTCATAAACAATGTGTAAACAGACTATGTAGTAAATGATGTGTAAACAAACTACTTTATAAACAATGTATAAACAAACTACGTTATAAACAATGTGTAAACAAACTATGTATTAAATGATGTGTAAACAAACTATGTATTAAATGATATGTAAACAAACTACGGCTGTGCAGTGGTGCTGTCCATGTGTTGTTTTTGGTCAGTTGGTGCTTTACTGTGTACCACTGTCTTTTTTAAATCAGCATGGTAAGACCTTACACATGGAAGTACTCAGCAGGCTGGGACAGGTTTAATCTGTGTTAGCATGTTGTTTAGGTTTCATCTCACAGATAATCCAGGCAGAGCAGGAGACTGATCTCAACTCAACACAACCTGCAGATCTGATCTCATGTGGATGACAACTCAGGCTTTTCTATCTTTAGCGCCCTCCTCTGGTCATACACACATATGTTTTGTGGTGTGTAGTAACACCATAGACTGTATATAAAGTAACACTGGGGTCTTGTTTACTTACTTACATACTCTGCCCTGTTCTTTGCAACAAAGCTATTTGGGAGATGTTTGAAATTTCACCCTGACAACTGAGCTTTTCAGATTCAGGTTGACTTTGTGTGAGGTTATGTAATGATATTTCCGACTGACCTTGTCATTCAGTGTGATTGTGCTTTGTGTCCACTGAAGATATTTCCTGACTTGGACACATGATGATTTTCTGCATTTGTTTGTCTGTTAGTTCATAGAATTATGCAAAAACATGGTATTAGAATCTGGTAACGGTCAGCGGACAGATCCAGGATTTTTCTTTAACGTTGAGAGAGAGGGTGTTTTTCTCAGAGAATAGCTGGTGAATCTTGATGAAAATAATTAGGCATAATTAGGGAATTTTAAACATTTAAACAATTTCAAGCATATATAAACTAGGCCCGGTTCTGCTTGATTGTGCAGTTCCTACTGACATCACATTTGTAAAGATTACCCATCCGGCTTTGTTTTTGAACAAAGCCACACACCCACAGGCACATTTTGAACAGCAATATCTAAATCCTCTTGATTTCTAATACAAAAGTCAAAATTACTTTGAAAAGAAAAACAAGGGTAAAGTTTATTGATGTTAAAATCCAGGCAGGCTCAGAATCAGTCATAGGAAACAAATATCCAAGTATCTACAATAACAATGACCACGTACAAAATTGTCACAAGAAAAAGACGATAATGAGGAGTGTTGCAATGATGAGGATAATCCACTAGGTAAATCACTGATGTGTGAAATACGGCACATGTGGAGCACAGTTAGATACAAAGATTAGGCTACACAGCAAACACAGGAATTTAAAAACCAATCCTGTCACACTGCATGAACTTTAACATTAAAAAAAGAAACTGCATCGCCTCACAATGGCTCAGTCTGAATATACTGTGCCTTTAAATGCCATTAGACTTTTCCAGTTTTTTATTTAAAATAACACTTTCCCTGTTATATCACAGTAACATGATGGGTGCCTCCATTTTGTTCACACAATGAAATCTCCACCATTTGGTATTGTCTCTATAAACTCTTTTTTTTCAATATATAACCTCTTTTTTCATATCAACACTAATAAACATGAGAGAAATCGTACACTGTACAACAACATAAAAATATGGCCTTCGTTCTCTACAACCAATAATTCAGTTTGAAGTGAAATAAGCCAGAGAGAAGGAAGAAGGTGACAGGTGTCATTTTTTTAAAATCATTAGCAAAATGATTAAGCAATGCTTCACTTGCAAGTGTAATGTTCTGGATAAATGCACAGGAGGTAACTGACTTCAACATCTGAATATTTGAAATATTTAAACTTTACCCCGTCATCAAAATATTTACTTCATTTGTAGAAGAGAAGTGAACTTACAAAAGAGCAAACATAAACTCTTTTTGATTGAAGGTGCCCTCTGGAGTTTTCTTCTTTCAGTTTTTGTGATCATTTGTCTGACAAACATGTTAAATGCATTTCCCACCACATTTGCAAAGTTGACCTTCAAGATCATTTAAACTTGTGTATTAAGTATACACGTTTGTTTTCCTTTGCTACACTGTAGAATAACAGAAGAGCGTAAATCTGACTTCAACAGAACAGGCTTTGAACCATAGACTGTAATTTAAGATAGACATGATGGCTCCCCAAATGTGAAGCTAGTCTCAATCACTCCCTGGTGGCTATAGCATAAACCTCACCTCCTCCATAACAAATAGAACAATAGGTAAAAATAAAAAGGCAAAATACATTGCCATTAATTTTTTTTCAGGTAGTTTTTTCCAGTAGGTTGTGTGTAAATAAGTTCTCTGATGCTATAAAAATGGGTTGAAATGATGCAAGTGACACGTGAGACTGACTTGCGATTAGTCAAACACGTATTTCAGCAGGTATTCCCGACTACTACCCTGGTAACAAATGATGTCATCAGCACAAGTTGAAAATAACAGGAGGAAGTGGATACCCATGGTCCATCTATGTTTACGGTCTATGCTTTGAACCCGGACTCATCACTATGACCATTTGTAAACATCACAATCATGGACATTGTGGTTTTTAAAATTCCTTTTTACTCTAAGTGTGTTGGCAAACTTTGAAAAGCATGTTTATGTGCTGTGTTCGTATACTGTGTTACTGCTGCAAACTGAATATAGTGTGAACATGGCTGCATGACTACGTACCATATGGCTCCAGTGCACAATACAAACAAAAAGATTGGGATTCATAAAAAGCTGCTCTACAGCGCTAAAAAATAATTTATATTAAAAACACATTTAAAAAAAAACACTAAATCCTGATGTGACTGAGAGGCCCTCACAGGTCTGAATATATTTTAGCACAGATGTGACTGTTATTGTTTCTATTAAAAGCATCATTATGCAGAAAAATGCACCAGGTGTGTATAAATTAATTTAGCATAGTTTTGAGTAATATGGCAACAAAGGCTTTATTGTGATTATTGAAGTTAATGCAGAATTGCTTCACATATTCTAACTATATTAGAACTTGTGATTGTCTGAGCCTGAAACAAACAAATCCCCCCCTTAAATCCACTTGTCAATTAAGATCAAATGGCAAATGAGAAACATTGCTAAATCTTACGTTTCATAAATATGGCAGAAACCAGAGGTCATCTCTTTCTCTGCAGTGCTTTAGTTACCTTCGCAGAGGCACAGTGCACCAGCCTGCTGAATGTCCCCTTTGTCATGAAAGTGTTTTTTAAACACCTTGTCCAAAGCAACTTTGTTGTCCAGCAGGAATACAGGCCCTCTGTCAAGGGCATCTCTTGACTGCTAGCTGTTCCTCAGGGTCCAGACATAAAAAGTAAGATGAGGAATAAGTTCACTTTACAGCAGGAGTGGCACTTCAGTCCAAGACTGATGTAAGAGTGTGTCAGGTGTAATACTGCAATGTTTCAAACGTACACACCAACAGGCACATTTTCACAGTTAAACAGTTAAATAACACACTAACGCAGATACACACAGATATATACACACCCACACACATGGCACTTGCACTCTTTTTTCAGACGTTTATCCACCTGGTTGCTCTGCTTAAATCCTTGGCTCACTCTCTATAGGCTCGGCCGCCTTTTCCTCTTGCACATGTCTTTCGGTGAGAAAATATATAATCATCCACTTGTATTCAATCAGTTTTTTGGGGGGGGCTCAGCACCGTCGCTCTTCAGGACTTGAGACCCATCTGAGCCATCAACTGCTCATAGACAGTCCAAGCCATGGCAGCCATCAGAGTGCGCCGCAGAGACCTGGGCACAGCGCCACGAAAAAACCCAGCCATGCCGTGCTCCTGAGTGAGAGTACAGAGCACAGAGCAGGAAAGTTTAGCATGATACTGATTTCGTGGCATTGTCATACCCTTCAAATCACGTGCACATACAGTAAGACAAAATCTGCCTGTTGCCACTCAATGACCACTCACCTTGTGGATGTAGCGAATAGCATCTGCCGTGCTCCAGTGAGATGTGCTAACTTGAATGTGGGTCTTCACCACATCTGCAGGCTGTGTGACCAGCGACGCCATGACACCTGCCACTACTCCACAGCCGAAGTTCACCAGGGGAGCGTAGCCCGACAATGCAACCTCTGAGAGGAGAAAACCAAGTGTTAAGCAAAAAGTAAACGAGTATAATGATTATGAAAGCAGTTTGTAGTTTTGATGATTTTTGTGGTTTGCTGATGCAGCGTGGCTCTCACCTTGCGGCAGCGCCCTCTTGGCCTGGCTGTAGAACATGACGTAAATGCCAGAGAATGGAGCGTCTCTGAGCAGTGTGGCTGTCAGCCCCGAGAACAGAGTCCTGACTCCCTCTGTTTTATACACACTCCTCAGTGCCTTGATCACACTCCCATAGTTGTAGCAGCCACTCTGAAACACAATATAATCACCTCAATGAGTGGGGAACTTGTTAATTCACACCAGTCATTTAATAACACTGGCAATAACTGTGTTATAGTTGTAAACTGTGGTCATTCATGTATAGAAGCTAGGTGTAATGATTATGCAGCGTGTACAATGTCCCTTACTCATGATTCAGTCTTCATAGCTTGTTAATGTTTGTTATCGTCAGCTACTCAGTGTGATATCAGCCAATGAGCAAGATATTCAGAATATATGAATAAGATCAAGGTAGACACGTCTCACTCTTTGCTCAATATATACATTACTTGCAAATGAAATACAACAGATAAAAGAGAAATTGTCATTAACATCCTTTTCCATTTTCTAATGCTGGAGACTGGATTATGGAGAGCAACGTCGTCTGAGTAAAGTTTTATGATTAGTGCCTGAAGACATAATAATTATAATTGTACAGTCACTTATTTAAAAGCACATGTCTGCTGAAGGCTTATTATTCCAAATAAAGACTTAACATCTCAGTCAAAGTGACTGATAATAAAGTGGATGCAAATTCAAAAATGGATGATGGGGACAAATTATTAATCACTGTCTAAAACAGACATAATTCAAATAAAGTCAAGTTTAATCATAAAACACATTAACAAACTACCAGACCAAAGTGCTGAGGGCAATCATCAACAACAAATGCTTTAATTTGTAGCCTGGTCTGTTAACATGTAAACAACATTAACTGGAGCATGACTGAGGAGATGTTCAGAAAAGTCTCCTAATCTAACAAACACATCTCCGGTCACAATGGCTCTGAGACCTCACTGTGTACAACAAAAAACCTGCCACTCACCTCATAGCGTGTCTTGATGACAGTGAATGGCAGCATGCAGACGCCAGCCACAGATCTGGCGCCCGCTCCGAGAAGAACAGCCTCACCAGCGTTGGGTGCGCGGTCCAGGAAGAAGTGCTGCTTCAGGGAGTAGAAGGTGCTAAAATAGATGCCGACCCCGGGGATGCAGCGCATAAATGACTACAAGAGAGAAATAAAAGTGCTGAGAATATTTATCATAATAATCTGAAAACATTATT